TGTCATTGCAAGGGTGGCGATGTCCATTCCTTATCACAAGCGCGGGCTTGGAATCTTGAATGGCGGTATAGTGGTTTATACCAAGCTGTTTGTTTGGTATCCATACAATACTATTGTAGTTGTTAATGGGATTAGTTTTTATTGGGATTAGTAGTATGTAGGATGGTATTGTAGTTTTTTTATGAGGCAGCAATGTCCACCATTTATGTTTGTACATGCTTGTATGTCATGCATTTAATAATTGTTTCCTTCAACTTCACCGTGTCAAATATGAAAGCCATCTTGTACACATCCAATAGGTAAAACAGTAAAAAGTACTTGTAGGGAATATTTCAAGCATTACCCCAAACTTGAACCCCACCGTGATCATACACTTAAGCATGTTGGCGTCCAAAGGGAACGAAGCTAGAGCAAAAGAGTCGCCAACAAAATTTTGGAACTTGTAAACCGTTCACGAGGTGAAGGTTACACCCCTTAACGATCTAGAAGATTGTCAAATCCAATAGGTCCGGAACCATGACTGGTAGTTCGGGGATGAAGGTAGAAATCCAACCTAAAAGAGATTGAACATGCCCTAATAATAGGCCTCTACTTTGTTCTGATCGTATTCATGTGCGCTTTCTGACTAACATGCAATCAATAGGATTAAGCCTAAACCTATTTAATCTATGTTGGTTGAATATTAATGCACAAATAAAACTATTATTGGCGATTACTTGAATTATAACCAAATTAACCCTAAACAAGATTATTAATTATCTTATTAAGCGTGATTACAAGTACAAATTCCCTTTAAACATGCATAAAAGGTGTGATCAAGCAATAACAATAATATAACATAATAATAATCATAATTAATCATCATCAAAATAATTATAAATCATAGAAATAATCATGTTCATTTTAAAGCATAATAATAGCAAGATCCTAGGCATGATACTAACAAGATTAATAACAAGCCCTAGCATGTCACTAAACAATAAAGATCAAATATATAGCCCTAACATGATACTAACATGAATATTAGGAAGAGAATAGGAAGCATCGCAGGAATCACAATTGTCATATTTGATATTAGAAATTATAGTTATTATCCTAAACATGATACTAGGATGCAAAAATAACAACCTAACATGATACTAGGAATCAAAATAACAATCTAAACATGATTTCTAAATCATAATATCAATAAAGAAATTAAAGCACTTACTTGGATGTCTCGTATCTCTTTCTAATAACAAAATACACACGTTAGTAACTTCAAGGAAAATATATAATCAAACAATTAAATTAAATAATTGAAATAGAGATTTGGGACCAAACCCTCATAAATTAAAACCTTTCACGTCTAGGGCGAAGGCAACTTCGAACTTGGCCATGTATGTCTAGATCTTGTGAATGAGGAATTTTAATTTGTATGCAAAAGGCTTGTTTAAAAAAAAAAAAAAAAAAAAAAAAAAAAAAAAAAAAAAAAAAAAAAAGTAATCAAGAGATTCTTGATGAGAGTTGGTATTGATGGGAATTGATGATAATTGATGATTGAAAACAGAGGTTTTAGGAGGCTATTTATAGAGAAAATCAGTTGGATATGATAAAAAAAACGAATCAGAGTTTTGAAAAGAATAAAACACGACTGCAGCGCCAAACACGCGCGTGGCGCCAAACGCTGGACTCTGGCGCCAGACGTCGGGTCTGGCGCCAGGCACTGGTCATGTCGTCCGACGTTGGAAATAAATTTCCACGCGTTTTCTTAATTTGATAAAATTTAGCCGTACGAGAGGGCAAAATCGTATTTTCCTTAAAACCATTTCTTTCATTCTGATTAAAACTCTAAAAAGTCAACTAAAGTCAATTTATCACTGCTAATTAAATTAGAAGAATATAATCAATTCTAATTGCATTAGGAATGATAAATCAATATTAGGCCCTCCTCTAGATCATTGGGCCGCATATAAATATCAAACCGGGCCCAGTTTAGTAATTTGGCCATAACTTCCTCATTAATCATCGGAATTGGGATTATATTATATCGTTGGAAAGCTCATTTCAAACCCGACCTAACTACACCATTATTGGACCCTTGCCATGGACCAAACCAAACTGGATTGGCTGTTTACTTAAAATAGATTTTCAAAAACAGAAAGAAAGAAAAGAAATAAAAATTAACCGCAACACTAGACTTTCCACACTTTCACTTCATTCGATTATGATTCGATGTGAAAGGTACTCATCATTGGGTTTGGTTTAGGGGAGACACAAATGGGTTTCTACAGCAGTACGCCTCCTATTTGAACTCATTTAGTGGGTCAAGTTCAAGAAGTGTCAAGTAAGGGTATGTGGGATGATTAAACTCTTACCACTCTTAACGGCTTGCTGAAATGGGATGATTAAACTCTTTGATCTCATTTCAAGAGCTAGGGAGCCAATGGTGTCCTTCACATCTCTTTCACCGGAATTACCCAATTCTTGACAAATGTCAAAGTCGTCCATCTTTGCCTTTCCCTTTTCAGCGTATATATAATGTCGAGAGATGGACCTTGTTTGCATTCGTTGTGGAGATTTCCATTCATCATTGTTTTTGTTATTTTCCATGTTTATTATTTTCAGTTTTTAAAGTGTTTCGGATTTTGAAGTGTTACTTGGGTTGGTGCTGTAGACTTGGGGTGTGAATAAAAGCAGCATGTACATAGGTGTAGTTATACTCAATGTTATATTCAATGTTAGTAATTTCATGTTATTAATTTAATGTCACAAACACACGGTTTTATGGACAAATTATGCGATGGTACCAACTACCAGTAGGATGGTATTGATGGTAGAATTCATTTCTACCAATTTTCATCAGGATTGTATGCGTGCAATAATGAAGTCTATGCGCAATAGCAAGTACAATTATATTTAATCTTAAATTACAATTAATATATAATGGAGTATGCATGTTAGATTTAAGTTAATAATCAAGATGACATTTATAATTAGTAGATGTATAAAGCTAAATAATTTCATAAATACTCATGAAAGGAGAGTTGACACATACACAATTTAAAACAGCATATCAGTTACTTAGGCTTAACCATAACAATTTCAAACAACATATTAGTACCTACTACTAAGTCTTAACCATAACAACACAACGGTGTCATACAAATGATCTACTCCTAAGCTAATGATACCTGGAAATGAACTACACTAAAGAAGTACTTAAATAGTTAAACAACTACGGATTAACTCATATCATTAATAACTTTAGCACTTAAAATTAGGGTACCAACTAGGCTTACAAGTGGATCAGTACAAGACCAACTACGGACTAAAGTATACCATCCTTGTAACTTTTAGGATACCATCTTATCAAGTTCGTATGATACACTCGCAACATGATTATATTACAAATATTTTCAGGAAAATCAATTATCTCTTTATGTCTTCATTCAATGGAACTACTTCATATTTTATGTATTCATTTAATGGAGATACTAAAGATATGTTGCATTTATTCCCATCAAAAACAGTCAATAACTTTGCAAACTTGAATTCATCCATCTTCATAAATACCATCTAAACCCTGGTTGGTATACTTTAGCAAACTATCTAAGATAGATATGGTGCTGAAATACAACCATATGGTACTAATACAATACAAACAGAGACTATTTTAAGACTACTTATTAATTATTATCTCTCATTCTAAAGCTAACACTAAGTATGTCGACATTGGCAAGTTGTTGTTGGTCAGTGAATCGGGGGATTAACCTTCCATCCCACATTACAACGGCTCCACCTGTAGACCCTCGGGGTGCAAAACCAGAAACTCGGTATCCACCAAGCAGTTGCCCAGCTACTCTGGCCAAAGTATTCCTATTGACGCGAGACTCGGTAATGACAATAACCCAAGGTTTGAGGTTATCGTATAGTGTTTTGAAGAGTGATTTGATAGACGGCCGATCTACACCAAGGGCATTCCAATGTACTGTGACAATGCCCCTAGGAATATAAGCGTAGTCATTGCCTTCGGAAGGTCGCCGATCGGAATGGATGTCGATCTCATGATATTTTCCTCTACGGAACCAGAACGGCTTGGTTGCCAAATTAAAGCACGAGTAGTGAACAACGCAAAAGAAAGCAATGCCACCCGTATAGCATCTACGTTTATCGTATTCCCTGTCGAAGATCTGGTTTAAATTCAACTCTACCTCACAGCTACATAGGGGCTTTAAAAACATAACATAAGGAGGATGGTATGGAATCTAGATGGTGAGAGTTGAGTTGATTTAAGTTTCATACATATATTTGGAGAGGTATTGGCCATTTTGTAACAATAATTCAAAATGGTGACATCTAACATCTTATTTATACACAAACATTTAAGCATTTAATGCATTCCCAACGACTTGCTACTTAATCTAAATACCATCAACTCGTCAGATATTATCGGATATAGATACCAATACGAACTAGAATGGTATTGATCATGGAATTATTAATGAATTCCTAATTACATGTGTAGTTGTTAATGGACTGTCTCTCTAATTAAGGGACTACGGATCATAATTCAAATCCAACGAAATACTAGGTTTGCTTCATCTCCATAAGATGTTGAGTTTAGACTTAGTTTGATTTGAATTGTGATCTAATTGGTTACTTTGATAGATTGTTAAATATACGATTCTGTTGGTAGATTGTTACTTTGATAGGTTTTACGTGAAATTATTGTTAATTTTGTTAGATTGCGTGTACATATATTTGTTGTGTCTTTTATAAAAATTACTTGATCTTATGCCACAAACTCTCACATAAGAATTTGCATGAGGTGTGCCAAATTATTACACACCATTGACTACGAGATGGTATACCATTGACTACAAGGTGGTATGCCATTAAACATTACTAGATGGTATACCATTAAACTCTACTATATGGTATACCATTTCCACATGAGACCATTTCTACAGGACTGGATTTCCACAAACAGTATATACTAATATTAAAATGGTCTCACATTAGCACAAAATAAACAAATATATTTGAAAGCAACTTTAGTACAAATGGTATCATAGTAGCAGCAATTGTGATACCATTACAAAAAGGATTGGGAAGATGTGGTATCCCATCTCCTTTCTTCCTGAACCAAAATAAATGTATGTCTAGCCAACACAAATTCCAAACATAATGTCTATCTATCTAGCCAACACAAATTCCAGACAATTTCTGAACCAAAAACCTACATACTGTCTATCTAGCCAACACAAATTCCAAAACTACACAAACTATAAAACTGCTATTCCATCTAAGTTGTCCCGCTTTTCATTGCAAACGGAGTGCGAATCCTCAATAAGAAGCGACGCCCCGGGAGAATTCCATGTCCTGGGAATCAACACCTCCTTCCTATGGATTAAGATGTGCAAAAAAAATGTTAAAAAACATAATTTAGCAACTCAAAGTCCATACAGAAATAAAACAATATTATCACATTTACCACTTGAAACCTAGTATGAAAATGCTCTATACTATCCCTAATGCAAGCCAGCATGATAACCCCACAACTAACACTGTGCAAAGAGGACACAATAATGTTATTGAAAACAAGAGAGTTTAAACAACTTAACAATGTACATAGCAGTAGTGAACTCATAGATCAGACTGGTGAAAAACTTCAATGCTTTGAATAGGCCACCCTCCAAGAGTACCCTGTTCCCAATTGTTGTCATGGGTGTTAATCAACACCTCCATCGCACCAATCTGTAATACAAAATTCATGAGCCAATTACCAATATTCGATAACAAATTATATCAAATAAGTGAATAACAGACAAGTTTCTACCAATTTCGGTATGAAAGCTTCATGTTCCTTAGTAGGGTCAGAGTACATGGAGTCAATTAGCCATATCTTTTGTTCTTTAAAGGAGGAGGCAGCACACCACTAGTGTTCCCCCATTAAAACAGGGACAAATATCTACATATGACAGCAATATTCAATACCAATAGAACCCACAAAAAACACCTTTATGGATGTTTACACCAGTACACATAGCTTAGCTCCAAAAGTCCAAAATACCAAATTAATTAGGTAGGTACAAGTTATAAAATGACAACTGCCGCTTTCATTTTTCTTTTGTTGTTCACTACTTGTTCTGCTTGTTTGCTAGAAGAAGCAGCGGGAGTACTTCTACTCCCCATTATCTGCTTAAGGGTACACTGCAAACTCCAAACAAAAAAACAACCAAATAAATACATTTTTGAGAGATATACTCCAAATTGAAATCAATCATGCCAAACATACCCCCCAATTACTTCTGCATCCTACGGAAGTCACATTCAACTGCTCCGACATGACTAACTACATTACAACACACGGGAAAAAAATACAGAATCAATATACTTCTTTGGAGTAACAACAACACTTAACCAGTTTTTGTTTGGATGTTTATACCCATTCAAATAAACAAGGGAAATTCTCTTTGGTACTCTCCAATTTTATACAATTCTCAGTGGTAAACAAAGTTTTATGGAATTATCTTTGGTGCTCACTAATTACTCTTATCAATTCAATGGTGACATTATGACATAAATATGCAATTACAAGCTAACTCTAGTTAAATAAAGACATATTGACTAATATAACCCTATTAATAAAATTTAAAAAAAAAACCAGCCACCCCAACCCAAATCCCACGCCCCCCTCCCCTGCCAGCGGCGGCCGGCGCCATCCAGCGACCCCAGCTACTTCCCTCTCTCCTCCACCCACGACACCTCAACCTCCCCTAAAACCCTCCTGTTTCCTTCAATTTCGTCCAAAAATTCACTCGAAAACCCAGATTGAATAATCGTCTTCTTTAACCTTTCTCTCTCCTCCATTGCCTTCTTGATTTTCGTCCCTAATTACGATAATTGTTCTTCAGAGCTTTGTTGATTAATCAAGTTTCAATCAATTCGCGAACTAGCGAACTCTGCCGCTGCCCAGAAACCACCTGCTTCATTCTCCTAATCATTCGCTCATGAAAATGCCAATATTGGTTTAATTTCTCCTAATTCTTCACCTGGGTACTTGAATAATAGAATTAAGGGGATAAATCCTTCAAATGCTATGCTTCTAGGTTCAACCCATATCAATTCAAGGTTTTTTATGGATTTTATGGGTGGTGGGATCGTCGCCGGCGTCGGGGTTGTGGGTAGACCGGGGTTGGCTGGGTTGGGGGAGGGGGAGAAGTGTGTGGTTTTTTTTTAAATAGGGGTATTTTAGACATTTCTCTTTTCCCTCCCTTTTAATACATTAACCATGGTTAATATTTCTTTAAAATGCTTAAGTAATGTTACCACTGAATTACTTATACAAATTTTAGATTACCAAAGATAATTTGAAATTTTAGTGTTTACCATTGAGACTAAAATAAAGTTGAAGAGTACCATTGAGAATTTCCCAATAAACAACCCTACTTACCCCTAACAATTCCATGGTATCACTAACCTTATAAAAGGTTTCAATAATAGGTACCAACAAGCCACATTATGGTATCTTAAATCTAATGATTATGGTATCAAACAAGCCACATAATGGTATAAAAAATAAAATGATTATGGTATCAACAACAAGCCAAGAACTACAACATAGGGGCCAAGAACAACATTCACAATTTGGAGAATTCAACAAATAATTATAATTTTGGGAATTTCAACACTGTATTCACGATTTTAACACTGAACTCACGATTTCAACGCAGTAAATTTCTCCAATCATGAGTTTATCAGTTCTAAAGCATGTAACTTCACCAAACAAAATTGCAATGAACATTCCCCATCAAACACATACATTTAATTGATGAGTTTCAGCCATATTACTTACTCTATAATGCAATCTTAAACAAAGATAATAAATTTCACATACATTTCTCCAATTTTAAACAAAGATAATAAATTCCCAACAAGTAATACTACAATCGACAAATAAAGGGCAGAATTTCCAGAAAACCCTAACTTTGACAAATTGATCAGGTCGTAAAACCCAAATTAGGGATAGAACACAAACAAATTTGAACAAGTAATACTGCACAGACAACTTTCAATAAGTGATAAAACCCAACAAAAACAAAATTTCGTTCATAAATTAAACAACTAGGGTTCATACTTATATCCAATGGCGCAAGCAAATTAGGGCGAAAATGCAATCCGTTTATTTGCTTGAAGACAAACCCAGACAATGCTTCAAATTTTGCTTAAAGACAAACCTAAACGATGCGAAATTGGCAACTTCTAAGCGGTTTTAAATTTGCTCTTTATCCTTGAATAGAAATGGTTTTTTGGACATATGGTTTTCTCTCTCCTCTTTTACAGAATTTAATTGCAAATTTTTTGGATGGTTTTTAAATTTTGGATAAACTATCTAGGAAAGATGGTGGGTGGGTGGGGACCACACACTTTCCAGAACCTTTTCAGAAGCAAAATGTGGATTTCCCATATTACCCCTTAGTTGAGTCATTCATGCCTCAACTTAGTTGAGGATGAGAATTGCTTCTCACGGATCCTCACATAACATTAGTTTTCTCCGTTAATGTACTTTATTATGCCAACTTGCACTATGTCAGAACTTTTGTTTATAAAGCAATTGTTTTTTTGCCTGGGCACGCATTTCACTGATAGTTTATTACAAAATTGCCACGAGATAAGCAATCCAAGTTTATCACGAAGATTTACTTGGATTTTCTACGTCATTAAATTGTTTTTTTTAACATATACTTTTTCCGTTCTTTTTTACTTGACCCTCTTTAACATTTATATTGGATCATTTTGAATTCGTCTCAATAAGTACTATCATAGTATATAACTTTTATATTTTTTAATTAGGGAGAATTAAAGTTATTGACCGTTAAAGTTTTGCATTGGCAAGCATGATAAAAGAAACTAGTCAAGTAAAAAAGAACAGAGGAAGTATGTCAATAATGTCATCATTAATCTACGAGTATATTTTTTTCTGGTGTGATTTTCATATAGTCTATCGCACTCAAGGAGTCAGAGGTGCTGGATGCCTGGATGTAGAGTATGGTCTGGAGTTCGCAAAAAGAATGGGCATAGTGAATGATGAAGCCCCAAGTGCATAGTGATTAATGAAGCTCCAAGTCCATGTTGATAACCAAACTATTGTCCTTATTTTGAAAGGTTTAGGGTCTGTTCTCTTCAGCTTAATTTCCATCTCTCATAAAATATTCATTTCAATTCAACTTAGGGCCTGTTCTCATACGTTTATTTTCAGCTCAGTTTAGTTCAGTTCAGCTCCTAATTTCCTTCTCTTATAAAATATTCAGTTCAGTTCAGTCAATGAGAACAGACCCTTAGTTCAGTTCAGCTTAGTTCAGTAAATTAGAACAGACCCTTAGAGCAACAAATATGAGTTGACAAGTCCCACTTTAGGTTTAGGTCGTATTTTACATAATGATGTAATAAAGTGTAGCTATGCCACGTTTCATTCCTTCCCAATCAATTTTCAGCCTCTTGTTTGCAGCCAAAAAAAAAAGTTTGTTTAAACTGTTTAAAGAGTAGGAATTAGCTCTGTACTCTGTAGTATATTCTAGGTTAGGACTTAGTGTTTTCCAAGAAAACTCTAACCATTATATGTGTATACTAGTATTGTGTCCGTGCGAGGCCCGGGTTGTTTATTGAATTTTAAGATATTTTTAATCTATATGTCAAATTTTAAAACATATCATTGATACAAAATTAGTTAGGAATTGATGTGTTTTTGTGACGATTTAAATTTGTAGACATGTAATGACTAATAATAATGTATACACCCATTTGTGTCTCCCCAAAACCAAACCCGATGATGAGTACCTTTCACGTCGAATCATAATCGAATGAAGTGAAAGTGTGGAAAGTCTAGTATTGCGGATAGTTTTAATTCTTTTCTCTTCTCTCTGTTTTTGAAAACTTATTTTAAGAAAATAGTCAATCCAGTTTGGTTGGTCCATGATAAGGATCCAATAATGGTGTAGTTGGATGGGGCTTGACAAGAGCTTTCCAACGATATATTATAAGCCCAATTCCGATGAATATTGAGGAAATTATGGCCAATTTACTAAACTGGGCTCGGTTTGAGCTTTATATGCAGCCTAATGATCTAGAGGAGGGCCTATTATTAATTATCATTCCTAAAGCTATTAGGATTGATTATAATCTTTTACAATACTCTAGAAGGTTATTTTAAATCATAATGGAGTTAGGATTGATAATTATGTTTTAAAGAGTTTGAAATTGAATAAAACTACTCCTTTTAAGAATCCTTGTTTTGTACGAAGTGGAATATATTCAGATTTTATTTTCGTTCCTCATAATATTTATCCAAATTTTATATGTTTGGATAGATCTTGAAATTATCTTTCCAATAATATATTATAATATTAAATCCGAGTTATAACGAAAAAGATATGAATGAGACATGAAACTTTATCCAAAACTGACACCCTTCCACTATTTTAGCCATATCTTTTTATCTACAAAATATTTTAATCTAATTATGATTGTGTTGGAAAGTAGACTTTAAGAGATTTCCAACGACATATTAATTCCTTATTTGGACTTTCGGATCAAAAGATATGATAAAAACAAAAACGCGTGAATTTCTGAAATCAGCGCCTGGAACCAGGCTTGGCGCCTGGCGCCAATTAGCTGGTTCTGGCGCTAGCTTTGTTTTGCGTGCGCCAAACTCGTTTTACGTGCGCCAAATGCTCTGTTTTGATATTTTATCTTTTTGGCTGATTTTCTCTATAAATAACGTATTAAAAACTCCGTTTTCATTCACCTACAATCAGTTTTCATTCGCAATCATTAATTCTCTAATTCTCTTAATCATTCACCAACTCTCATCAAGATTTTCTTGATTATTCTCTTAAATCATTCATCTCTTTCTTTTCTTTCTAAACTTTGTTTTCTCATACAAAATTCCGCATTCACAAGATATAGAAACACCTAGTCATATTCGAAGTTGCCTTCGCCCTAGACGTGAAAGGTTTTAATTTCTGAGGGTTTGGTCCCAAATCTCTATTTCAATTATTTAATTTAATTGTTTGTTTATTATTTTCCTTGAAGTTACTAACGTGTGTATTTTGTTATTAGAAAAAGGTACGAGGCATCAAAGTAATTGCTTTAATGGTTTTAATTGATATTATGATGTAGAAATCATGTTTAAATTGTTATTATGATATTCCTAGTATCATGTTTAGGGAAAAGGTTATAATATCAAATATGCTTATTATGATTCCTGCGATGCTTCCTATGTTAATATTTATGATTGCTAGTATCATGTTAGAGCTAAAGATTTGATTTTTATTGCTTAGTGACATGCTAGGGTTTGTTATTAATCTTGTTAGTATCATGCCTAGGATCTTGCTATTTTTATTATGCTTTAATATTAACATGAACATGATAATTATTATAATTGTTATAATTGTTGATGATTATTATTATTATTATTATTATTATTATTATTATTTTGATGATTATTATTATTCATGTTTATTCTAATGCTCGATTATTTATTATGTTGCTTGATATTTATCGTTATTGCTTGATCACACCTTTTATGCGTGTTTAAAGGGAATTTGGTACTTGTAATCACGCTTAATAAGATATTAATAATCTTGTTTATGGTTAATTATGATTATAATTCAAGTGATCACCAATAATAGTTTATTTGTGCATTAATATTCAACCAACATAGATAAACAGGTTTAGGGTTAATCCTATTGATCGCATGTTAATCGGAAAGCGCACATGAATACGATCAGAATAAAGTAGAGGCCTATTATTAGGCCAGGTTCAATCTCTTTTAGGTTGGATTTGTACCTTCATCCCTGAACCCTTATTTGGTTCTAGACCTTATGGAGTTGACGATCTCTTGGATCGTTAAGGGGTGTAACCTTCATCCTATGAACGGTTTACAAGTTCCTAAAACTTGTTGGCGACTCTTTTGCTCTATCTTCTTCCCTTTTGGACGCCACCGTATTTTAGTGTATGATCACAGTGGGGTTCAAGCTAGTGGGATTAAAGCTTGAAATTATTCCCTACAAATAATAATATTGGTGAAAAATGTTTCTTGATCCGTAACCTGAAATAATGACCCTGCCTATAATGACTGGTAACCCAACCTGTTTTACATGTCTACACACAGTAATAAAATTATATTAGAATGTGAAGTATATTATTTTAATTGATTAGAATATATTATAAACAATGGATGTGGTACATTTTGAACTAATTCCTTCGCTCCAGAAAAATATTATGATACAAAAAATAAATTTATATAATAATTTATATGAGTTATAATCTAATTATTTTTTGAATAAAATTATAATTCAATTTGTACTCTATAAAAAAAAAAAAAAAATCATGATAAAAATATTGGTACTTTATCAAAAATAAAACTTTAAATTAACAATTTTATCCTAAAATTCAATCCAAATTTGATCGAAATAAAATTCTAAACTAACTTTTTTATCCAACAAATTGAATTCTATATAACTACATCCTACGTGGCACGACACTTGGCGAAAAGTTGAAACGTCAAGTGTCGTTGTCTCGTCGCCTGGCTAAAAGTTTAGCTTTATATATTAATTATATGATATACAGAGTACATTGTATAAAACATCAATTTGAGGGTCTCCTAACGTCCTCTATTTTTCTTACCTTAATATAAAAATAATAATTATTATTATTTAAAAAAAAAACCCTATAATTGATACGTAAATACTTAAGTTGACAATAAGTAGTCAAGTAGAGGTGTCAATTCGGATAACCGGATGAAGTTTGGTCGGGTCTATTCGGGTCGGGTCTATTCAGGTCGGATATGTTCGGATCAAAATTATCCTTTTAAATCGGGTCAAATTCGAGTCATGGTCTATCGAGTCCGGGTCGGGTCAACTTCCGATCGATTCACTTTCGGTTCGGATATATTTGGATCGGGTTTAAAACGGGTTTAGCCGGGTAACTTCGGGTCGGATGAATTTGGGTCGGGTTGATTTCGGTTTGAATGATTTCGGTTCGGTCAAGCTCGATTCGGTCAATTTCGGCTCAATTTCTTTTTGTGTTTGGCTGAATTTTTTTTGGAAGTGCAAGGCTTTTGTTATTTTTGAGGAAGTCGTACCCATAACATATTATTGGAGTTGAAACATTGCAATGATATTATATGCAGCGTATTTTGTATATTAAAATGAAACTACTGAAAAATACCTAAGTTTGAACCATTGGATTATGTATATGTAATATATTTAATTACTATAATGAAAATGTAAGCGCTTGATTTATCCTTTAAAACTTTATTTATTTTGCTTTCATAATTGTTTCTTATAGGTTGCATCAGACTAGTAGTAATGTGATTTATATTGATATAATTGGTTGTAGGTGTTAGAGAAAAGAATTATTAGTTCATAAAATATAACAGAATGGGAGGAAATTCAAAAAATGACAATAGGCTTTAGGCAGCATTTAACTAGAGATTTACAAGCAAATCAATTAACTCCCGCTTAATGTTTAGGTTTATTAGATCTTGTGGCATTTATTAAAGCTCATAAAGTAAATTAATATACGTAGTAATTGATATGTACATGAAGTAAACTTAAGACTCCGGATTATTTCTTTGTAGTAAAAAAGTTAACTTATTAATAATTAGTAAATATATAGTATAAGAACTTGAATAAAAAAAGTAAATAATTAATTATGATCAGGTTGAATTCGGATCGGGTAAAAATCAAATCGAGTTAAAATCGGATCGGGTTAATATCAGTTCGGGTCAAAACAGATCGGATTAGATCGGTTATTTTTCGGATCAATTTCGGATCGGGTTGAACACGGGTCGGGTCAAATCGGTTCGGTTTGAGTTCGGGTCGGGTCAAATCGGATTCGGGTTGAGTTCAGGTCGGATCAAATCGGTGCCGGGTTAAGTTCAGATCGGGTCAAGTTCGGATTCGGGTTGAGTTCAGTTCGGTTACAGATCGGGTTTGGGTCTTGAATTTCTCGGATCAAATCGGATCGATTACAATTCGAAACGGATAATTTTTTTCGGGTCGGTTCGGTTTTGACACCTTTATAGTCAAGTACTCAAGTTGACAAGTGCCAAACACAAATTTGGTTATGTTCACTAGTCATTTTAATCGGTCCTCTTTCAATGCCGCAACAAAGAACAAGTTCCGCCGTGCACGCCGTGGTTTATACTTTTATGAGTACTTCATACGAGTACAATAGTATATAGTCTTGGTGTCAAAAAAAAAATAGTACGTAGTATATAGTCTTATGATTAGGGCCCACATAGAATTGTCACCCTATCTAACCAATCAAATTAGGAGAGAGAATTAGTTTTGTAATTTTGTTCGGTTGGAGGAAAAAGTCAACGTCAATGCTAAAAACGCGTCACACAGCCCTTGTATTATTCTGCCAACCCATTATTTACGATTTTATTCTATGAAATATGCCCATATGGCCATACATATTAATAGGATTCCCACATTATCATGGCCTGTTTAATTATTATAAACTGGTTTAATGGATTATGATAACATCATAATCCCAAATTAATTCATTTCTATTTTTTTAATTCATGATTTGGTACCAAAAGAAATTTTAATTGCGATGATAATTAGACTGGACTCACTGGAGTAATATACACATAATTTAGCCTAGGTTTAGTTTACCTTATCTTATAATTTTATAACTTAACTCAAATTAGATAATAAAAAATAAAAATAAAAAAATTAGCATCAAATGATAGGAAAATAAATAAATTTTGAACATGTTTTATTGTTTTATGTACAATTTTTTATCACTAAATTTATATAAATAAATATTGTTAGGTAGATTATTATTAATCTTGTTTTGATACAGAAAATATATTTTCTTAATATGCAGTACAAAATATGAGCTTTTTAATAATTTGTTAGTGTACAATTATAGATATCAAAGGATTTGAACATATCATATCATGTACCACCTCTTAGGGTGTGTTCTCTTACATTGAAGTTCAGTTCAGTTCAGTAAGTTCAGTTCAGTTCAGCTCAGTTCAGTTCAGTTCAGCTCAGCACCTAATTTCCTTCTCTTATAAAATATTCATTTCAGTTTAGTTCAGCTCAATTCAGTTCAGTTCAGCTTAATTCAGCTCAATTCAGTTCAATTCAGTTCAGTTCAATTAAGTTCAGTCAATGAGAAGATACCCTTAAACTTTAACTAATTAAGAAGAAATGCACAATACTTCCAAAGTTCCAATGCCTATTTAGAGGGAATGAACAATTTTTATTCCAAATTTGGGTTTTACAGCTTGTAGGCCTTGTACTTCCTCAATAATGGCTCTATTTATTTTTAAATTATTTTTTTAGAAGTATGACTATGATTACACTTTTCTTTCTGGTTTGATATATAATTCATCCATTTCAAATTTGATAATACATGTCTTTTTTTTTTTTTTTTTTTTTTTTTGAAACATGATAATACATGTCTTTATTAGGTTTGTCAATGCTAAAATTCAATTGAAAATAACTTTAGTTATACAATTGTACTATAAAAACATGGATTTTAATTAAATATATATTGAAATGAATTTAACAAAATCAGTCACACATAATTATATTTTTATATCAGTATAAATCACAAATATTAGTCAAAATAAAGTTTATAAATATTGTTAATAGTCAAAACGTGTTATCTAATTTATAACAAGGAGGTATGACTTTTTTTGAAAGACGGGATGAATTATGGCTATACAAGGGAGTGTGCTTAGTCATTGGAGTACCGAAATTGATTCCTTGTTTCTATATTTCTACCTGTATATCCAATTATTTCACAATAATTCTCACCAAAATAAAAAAATTACTCACATCAATAATTAAAACTTATTTAATTATGACATGAATTTTTTAACAATAAAAGTATAATTTAGACTTTCAATGGAATTTAGAGTGTATACTTAAATCACAATAATACTCTCTTTTTCAACGATGTTCGTAATAGACAAAAAAGTCCCCGCCTACCAATTAATACCACTATTACTTTATTAGCAACTACCCAATCTTTCTCCAAACTCAACCTCAATTTCGAAGAAAGCAATCCACCATTACACAACCATGAAAATTTCTTCATTAGTTTTGGTGTTAATCACAATCACAACTCTACAATTCCAAATACGGCAATCGAATTCGCAACAGACGTATATAAACAACAATCAGCTAGACTGTAACAACAACTATAACAACACAAATGGTTTTGTGTGCAATGGAAACAGTTCCTGCACATCCTACATCACCTTCAGATCACAACAGCCGTATGCTAATCCCCCAAGTATCGCCTTCTTACTTAACTCGAGCGCCCCAGCTATCGCCCAGGCCAATAATATATCCGAGGTTGACACTATCCCTGCAGGCCGTCTGGTCATTGTTCCTGTCACCTGTTCCTGTGGTAGGACAAGAGGGCGAAACAGCACTGCATATTACCAGCATAATGCACGGTACAAGCTGCAGGCTGCGACTGAAACGTATTTCATGACGGCTAACAATACGTATCAGGGGTTAAGTACATGCCAAGCTATGATAGCTCAGAACCGTTTCAATATCACTGATCTCCACATTGGGGATGAGTTACTGGTGCCAATCATGTGTGCCTGTCCTACTGCTAACCAGACGAGGCGATACAGGTCTCAGTTTCTGCTGTCTTACCTTGTCACCTGGGGTGATAACGTCGGTAAGATTGCAGAATTGTTTGGGGTTGATCAGCAGAGTGTATTGGATGCTAATGATCTCAAAGAAGATGATGTCATCTACCCATTTACGCCGATTTTAGTGCCTTTAACATCTGCTCCTACTGGCATAAACCATCTGTCTCCTTCACCTGCTCCGCCTCCTCAATCTACTCCTGTTAGACCTAGTCCTGGTGGTAAATCTTCCAACAAAGGGGTGTTTATAGGAATTGGGATTGGAGCTGGGGTTTTGGTGCTCGGTCTTGGCGCCTTCCTTGTCTGGTGCTTCTTCATTCGCCCTTCAAAGAAGAAGCCGCTACCAATCTACAAGACTGCAGAGAAAGGTGAGAAGGTTTCCGAATCATCATTTTACACACCCACGCCTGTATCTTATACCACTACTAGTCATATCAGCACAAGATCATCGTCTGTTGATTTGGAAGGATTGAAGCTTGCAATCGGGTCATTGACTGCTTACAAGTTTAAGGAAATAGAGAAAGCAACAGGGAATTTCAGTGAGGGAAATAGGATTAAGGGCTCTATGTTTCGAGGTGAATTCAATGGTGATGAAGCTGCAATCAAGGTCTTGAAAGGTAATGTTCCTAATGACGAGATTAATATTCTGAAGAGTATCAACCACTCCAACATAACTCGTTTATCTGGGTATTGCACCCATGAGGGGAACACTTACTTGGTATTCGAGTATGCTGAGAAAGGTTCACTTGATGATTGGCTTTTTCGCCAAGAGAAGCACCTATCTTCAGACGACGATTCACTCTCCCCGCCTGTTCTTACTTGGAAACAAAGAGTTCAAATAGCTTGTAACATAGCTGATGCCCTGAACTACTTGCATAGCTACATTCATCCTCCTTACATCCACAAGAATCTCAAGACTAGCAACGTACTCTTAGATAGCAACTTCCGTGCAAAGATTACAAACTTCGGGCTAGCAAGAACTATCCAAGATGAAAGTGAAAACGGGGTGTTACACTTAACCAAACACGTGGTAGGAACTCACGGTTACTTAGCCCCTGAGTACATAGAAAACGGAGCAGTAACCACCAAACTAGATGTCTTCTCTTTCGGGGTAGTACTTCTCGAGCTTCTATCAGGAAAACCAGCAGTAAAACCATCAGGAACTAACAAGGGAGGTGCAGACGATTTGTTATTCATGGTAATCAGAAAGGTGTTCGAGGGGGACAATGTGAGGGAAAAGCTAATGGAATTCATAGACTCGAATCTAGGAAGGGAATACCCCTTGGATTTGGCATATACATTGGCTCAATTAGGCAACAAATGTGTTGATCGTGACATGAGTTCTCGACCAACTATGTCCGAGGTCTCTATGACACTCTCAAAGATATACTCGTCGTCTTTGGATTGGGATCCATCAGACGAGCTCGGAAATTCATCTTCCTTCAGCCATACCAGATAATTCTTGTAACAATCCAATTCATGTAGTAGTAATTACAATCCAACTATCATTTATGCAATTACAGACTTTACAGTTATTCATACCAGAGTTTTACATTATATCATTCTTGAACATTCATCTACTAGTCCCAACTATTTTTGTAACAATCCAATTCATGTAATTACAGTTATATATATACACTTTGCAAATGTAATGCCAATTCAAAGAGTCATTCAACAATCAAAATCTTATGTACTATTACTATCTCGAATCATTCGACAATAATACAATTTCAATCCCAAAACAAAAACAAAAACAAAAATACAGATTCAACATAATTTTCTTTGAGTAACTAATTCAAATCTCATTTTGTTCATTACCACTTTGATTAGATGAAAGATTATCAGAAAAATAAATAGTATCATCAGCTTGAAACTCCATTTTCTCTCTCCTCATCTTCTCTTCTTCATACTTCTTCAATCTCTCTTCCCATTTCGCCTGCAATCCAAAATCAAAAACCCCAAAAAATCAAAATTAAAAAAATCAATCAAAATCAACAAAAACTAACTGAAGAAGAAAGAAGAACCTTGTAGCTGATTTCAGCACGATGCATAACGTAAAACCCTAGAATGCCGCCAACAATGGTGCCGGTGATTATACGAACATAACCCCATCTCTGTGAACGCACTGCTTTCATTGAATTCAAGTAATTTTTTGCTGTGAAAATTAATCGGGAGATTTTCCGGATTCCGGTAACCCGGAAACTTTTCCCGGCGAGGAAATGTGAAGTGGCGGAGCACTGGTTTCTTTCAGTTTGATTTTTTGGTTTTCGTTTAGGTTGACGGGTGTCTTTAGTCACACTCACACATGTATTATTGGCGGTTCTCTACCCCTACCAAAATACTACTTCGTACTCCGTAGTTACGAAACGGTGAGGAAGCTCATGTCAATCTCTTCCTCCGTTTCTTTTTAGGCCTTGTTTGGTTCAATTTAAAACAATTAAGTTCAGTTCAGATCAGATCAAATTATAAAAAAAAAAAAAATCAAGATCAGATCACATCACATCAGAAAAAAAAAATAATTTTAGATCCGATCACAGATCATCATTTTTTGCGCAATTTTTTATCGCTTAATATCTTTAGTTCCGTAATGAAAAAATTATGAAAATTAAATATTAATATTATACACATTATTACGAATCTAACGATCTCACTTGATATATTTTTTCCTTACAAATTATCATACACTTAAAGTCAAAGTGTGGTCAAATCAGACAATCATATTAGGGTTTGTTCACATTTACTGAACTGAACTGAGGTAAAATGAATATTTTATGAGAAAGGGAAATTAGGAGCTGAACTGAACTAAACTGAACTGATTGGAGCTGAACGAGCTGAAATGAAATTAAGTAAATGTGAACGTGCCCTTATAACAGATCAGATAAGTTCTAATAAGCAAAAATAAGGTGAACCAAACAAGCTCTTATAGTTGCTACACTTACTTAGGGCATGTTCTCATTGATTGAACTCCGCTGAACTGAAATGAAATGAAATGAATATTTTATAAGAGAAGGAAATTAGGAGTTGAACTGAATTGAGCTGAACTCAAAATAAATGTATAAGAACAGACCCTTATTTTGGAAAATTTTAATTAGTTGCAATACTTTTCATTTTTGACATTCTTTTTTCTTTATCTCTCTCCTACCCACATTGGTCCATCTTATTTTTCTCTCTATCTCTCTCCTCTAATAAAATGTTTAGAAAACCGTGAAAATAAAAGTGTAACAACCAAAAAACCAATGGAAGTAAATAAATCAACAATTTTATACCGTCATTATTAATAGAAAATATACTTTAATAATCTCAATTTCAATTTACTTTAAATAATTTCAACTTTGGATTATTTCTGTAATAATCTCAAGTTTGATGCATGTCTTCTTGTAAAAAATCTCAAACCGGTCAATAAAAGTCAACAACCTTTTATTATAGGTAACCTAACACGTGTCAAAATGTGATTGGTATAAAGAATTAAAAAAAAAGGAAAAAAATAAAAAATTCCAAACCACCGGCCACCACCTACGGTGGCCTTTCTCCCCAACCTACCACCAAACCACCGCCTCCCAGCCCTCAGCCATTGATTTCCGCCACTAAACCACCCTTAACACTAGAAATCGGCTCCCACTTCCCAACTCTACCTCGGAAACCGTCACTGCCCTTCACATCGCCACCACCAAATTAATTATTCCCCCCCCCCCTTACCTAACCTCCCCAAGTATCGCAGAATCCCACACAGATTCCTTCACTAGCGCGCCCTCCCTTCCCTACCTCAGAAACCGACCCTCCTTTCCCCACTTCTGAAATCAGTCTCAGCGACTATAGTTTTTAGGTTGGGTTGCGGCGATAGTAGGTTTCCAGCGTCAAAACTTAGTGGTGGACGGTGGAAATCGTAAATTAAGGTCGGAAATTGGGTTGTCTGGGGAGATCGATGGTGACCACCGCTGGGTGGTCATGGCAGGCTTGGGCTTTGGATTTTGATTTATTTTTTTTCCTTTTTTTTCTAAAAAAAGAAAAAAAAACTCCTTTTAAATTTTATTTAACCAATAAAGAATCGACACGAGGCAATCAAATGTTTTTACAAAAAATTTAACCCTTTCTCTAGGTTACCGGTAATTGAGATTGAAGAAAGAAAATGCAAGTTAAAGTTTAGATTGTTGTAGAATAATAGAAAGTTGGGATTATTTTTAAAACAAATCAGGCAAAGTTGGGCTTATTAAAGTGTATTTTTCTTACTAATATATGGCCTGCTTTAAAGAAAAAAAGTTACGAGGCCACGTCACCTTGGTTTTTCACTTTGAAGAACAAAATTGTATATTTCACGATGTCACATCATTAATTTTGATTAAACAATTGAAAAGATAGGGGAGAAAAAGCAAACTAGGGGGGACAAAACGTAGCATAGCCACACCAAGAATATCATTATGTAAATACGACCTAAAACTAAAGGTGAGACTTGAATCAACTAAAACTGCTAATCCACAACCGTTAAGGGCAAAATAGCCATTTTGTTATTTCTGTTATAATTAGCTCTTGCTAGAAAGTGAGTTAATTTGTTAGCTGGTCATAACCGATTAGCAATTATAAAACCCAAGATCAAAGGAGTGTTAACATCTTCCTCCATATCCATCACTACAAAGTCACAAGGCACGTAGATGTGTCCCACTTGAATTGGAACATCCTCAAGCTCTCCACAAGGTAATTTCACCGACCGATCGACCAATTGAATTGTCTTCCTTGTAGGGATCATCTCTATATTGAGTTTTTGAGCAATGAATAGAAGGGATTAAACTAACACTTGCTCCAAGATCGGCTAAGGCGCCCCTAGCTTCCATGTTCCCGATTTTTACCGGAAAAGTGAAACTTCCCGGGTCTTTTTCCTTCTTAGGCATCTTATGTTGGACAAGAGCACTCACTTGATGTGGAAGGGTGATAAGCTCATCATTGAGCTTCCTCTTATTGGTGAGAATATCCTTGAGGAACTTGGAGTAAGATGACATTTGTGTCACAACTTCAATGAAAGGGAGGTTGATGTGCAAATTCTTCATCACACTAAGGAATTTTTCAAACTTGTCATTCAACTTCCTCTCCGCAAGTTGACCGGGAAAAGAAACCGGACCATCAAGATTCCTAGCCTCACTAGGAATTGAAGTTGTCTTCTCATTGTCAAGCTTCTTCTTCTCCGAACCTCCATCTATCTCATCAACTTTTTCTTTCTCACCTCTCTTGTCCTCATTCACAATCTCTTCTCCTCCCTTCTTTTCCTCACTATCCCCCTCATTTGGACCTTCATAGGAAGTTCCCGACCTCAATGTAATTGTCTTGCATGTATTGGGTTTTGAGTTATGAGAAGGGTTAGATTGTAGTTGTCCGGGTAGAGTAGATGGTGAATTGAAAGGAGTTCTCTCGGCTAATTGCGCTAGTTGTGAATCAACCATCTTGTTGTGAGCTCTTATTTTTTGCATTTGTTGCCCAAAAGTTTGCATTTGTGAATGCATGGATTGGAGGAGTTGAGTTTGTGTTAGCTCCACTTGAGGTGCTTGTTCTTGATTTCTTTGAGGCACTTGTGTGATTGTTGTATTGGTTATTCCTTGGGTAGCTTCCTCTTGGGTTTTGGTGTTGAGATGGAGGTGAATTAAATTTTGGTATTGAGGGTTGGAATTGTAGGAAGGTTGAGCTTGTTGGTTCCATTGTTGAGGTTGAGATGCAAACCCGGGTGGTGGTTGTCTCCAAGCTACTCCACCGCCGCTTCCTCTAAATCCATCTTGCCTTGTCTTGTATGCCGCTACATGCTCGGGGCTCAAACCTCCACAATAAGATGTATCATGGTTCGTTCCTCCACAATTTTGACAAGAGAATGAGTTAACTTGAGAGGAGCTTGCTCCACCACTTGCACTTGCATTCACACTCGTGTTCAACTTGGATAGCCCTTTTGTTAGTTGATCAATTTGGTGTTGCATTTGATCAACCTTTTCTAATTCATAAATTCCACCTCTCTTTGGTGCATTCCTTCTTCTACCCCCCAAGAGTAGTTCTTTGCTACCTCTTCGATTGTTGCTTCAACTTGATTTTGGGGGATTTTGATTAATTGTCCATCCGCCCCCGCATCCAAGTTGGCTCTTGACATGGGCTCCAATCCGTCGTAGAAAAACCGCATGAGCAAACCTTGATTGTACTCATGGTGAGGACACGCTTGCACCAACTCTTTGAACCTCTCCCAAGCTTCACCAAGACTTTCATCGGCTTCTTGCTCAAATGATGCGATATTCCTTCTCATTTCGGCGGTCTTCTCCTCGGAAATAAACCGCTTCAAGAACGCCTTGACTACCTCCCTCCATGTCGTGAGAGAGTTAGGCTTTACTTGCTTTAGCCATTTCTTTGCTCTTCTGGTGAGAGATTGCCGAAAGAGATGCATACCAATGTAGTCTTGGCTCACTTCATTGGTTTGCATCATCGCGCACAACTCAAGGAATTGGTCCAAATGTTCAATGGGGTCCTCATCACTTGCACTTTTGGAAAATTGCTCCGATTGGACCGTTTTATTATATTGGGGATGAATTGTGAAGTCAGTTTTCGTGACGGGTAGCAAAATCCCTCCCGTGAGCTCATAATCTTCTGGATTTCCGAACTCACGAAACAAAACATCATCTTCTTGTCCCGCCATTGATTCGCTTTGCGAACTTGAAGAGTAAGAATCACTCTCACTATCAACTATAGCACCAAGACCTCTTCCCTCTTCTTGATAAAGCTTACAGACTTGTCTCAAAGTTCGGTCGATCTCGTGGTCAATTTGATGTGTGGGTGGACCTTGAGACCTTCTAAGCAAGCAAACAATTAGCAATGACAAGTATGATAAAACAAACAAAACAATAAGAAAAACAAGTAAAACGACTCTAACAAAAGCAAAAGTAGACACTAAACAAGCCGCTTCCCCGGCAACGACGCCAAAATTTGATAGGGGGTTAGATAGGTCGTTAAACTACTAACCTAATCAAATTAATCATTTATATTCCTAAACCACCCTAATACAAGTATAGGGGTATGTAAAGGGTCGAACCACTAAGGAAGCTCACTCGTCCAACATCAATATCACTAATGCAAGAGTAAAAAGGGGAATGTTTTTGTTGGTTTTTGGATAAAAAAAACACTAAATCTACAAACAAGCAAAGATAATGATGATTAAAATCTAGAGAGAACGACGCTAGGGGTGCGGGGGTGTCAAACATGGTTAGAAAGAGGGGACACAATAATGGTTATCATGATGAACATGCCAAAGAACACAATGCAAGATTCTACCTAAACAATTTATTCTCATGCAATAGTCTAGGCAAATCAATGAAAAATGTCTATACTAATTAGGATCATTCTCATGCATCCTATTAGTTTCAATCAAATCAAGAGAATAAAGAAGCACAATCCATAAAACTCCACTTTAACAACTCATTCTCATGCAATCATTAAAATAGAGATGATCTTAATCTAGTTCAAATCACTTTCATGCATTAAAACTAGAAAGCATCAACAATCTAAAGCTATCAAAAATCATGACTTTCATCAATTTATGGCATGAGTTCAATCCAACCATCATCATTCATCCAATATCAACACATATTTTCCACCCCCTTCCCCTAGCTAAGAAATTAGCCTAGAGAAGGAGGATTAAACATAATATCAAAACTAGAAATAAACTCAACCAACATAAAACAAAACATGATTAAGAACAATGGAAACAATAATAACTAGATGAACTAATAAGATTAATGAAAATAAGCAACAAAAAGGCAAATAAATAAAGATAAAAGAAAGGATTAGATATTACTAAATAGAGAATTAATGAAAGATGAAAACTTGAAGTGTTGCTTGATTGAAGATTAAACTTGACCAAAGTTGAATACAATAAAGGAAACTTGAGTAATAATCCACTTTCTCTCTCTAAGATTGGGCTAAATGTTGATAAGATAAAAGATAATTACAAACTTGAATAAGGTGCTATATATATGCATCACAAAAGACGAAAATAAAACACCAAGGAGAGCCCTCTAGAAAGCAGCCGCACCATCTCTAATCTGGGTACGGAGTTGCTTAACCAAGCATCCTGCGCCCGCGGCTGAAACTAGGAGATCCCTCTCCTGCTGAGGAGAGGGCGCGGTCTGGAATAAGGGGAAAAAGGATCCTCGATACGCCGCGCCCGCGGGTCAAGGAGGAAAGACCTCTTTCAGGGTGCGGCGCGGCATCTTCCGAAAGTTTGGTAAATCTTCAACATAGAGCTCCGCGCCCGCGACGCGGCCCTTGGCTCCGTGCCCGCGGCTCTTGCATGGCCATTACACCCTCCTTGAGCATCTCATTTCCCTTCCATAGATCGACATGCATCCAAAGGTTAATCCAAAAGAGCCAACAACCTACAAAACAACAAAGAAACACTAAGAAAACCAAAGAAAAAGGGGAAAAAGGTAAGGAAACACGAGAAGGGAAAAGAGAAAGCAAAACTAATGTAAAAAGCTTAGAAAAGGCTCAAATAAGTGCAAATAAATGAGGGGAGAATCCTTAGAGAAAAAGGATAAAAGAGTGGCATAAATGCCACTCATCATAGCAAAGCTTTCTTGTGCTGTCTCTTATTATACCCCCACCCCCAGAACGTGTAGAGGTCCATTTGGCTACCTCGTCCGAATTCAGCGAGAAATTAAACCATCTACTCATGGGTGCATTTCATATGATGAAGGCTTCCCTACGAGAAATAGTTGTATGTGAAGAGCTTGTCATTCCATCCTTCATGACTCTTCATGCTTCCTCAAAGTGACCCAACAAGAATTTTTTAACGTCTACAGTACAGGAATTGCACTAGAATGACCAAAGCTACCGTATTTCTCCACCTCCATGTCCACCATATTACTATAGATTAATAAGTTGGCCAAATTTCAGGAGACATGTCGTATTTTTGTATCTTTATGTTTCGTATTACCCACTCATTGCGAAAATCTATTGCGTGTGCTGGACCACCCACCTGGCGCCACACTTCTCTCGTAGCTTTGCAATCCGGTAGCACATGAGTTGTACCTCTTTAATATTTGGGCATAGCTTGCAACAAGGATCATCCATTAAAGAGCGTTTGATGAAGTCTGCATTGCTCATAATTTTGTCATGCAAAATCATTCATAGGAACATCCGAACTCCTTGTTGTACCTTTAGCCTCCACACCAAGCTCCATGATCCATCCTCTTGCTCTTCATTGTCTTGTCTTATTAGTTGCAATGCAGATTTGATAGAAAAAGTGCCCTTATATCCACTATTTAAGTAGAGAAGGTCGCCCCTTTCTAGATTTTTAATGAAGGAGTGGGCCTCGATTCATGCAACGTTGTTTGAGGTAATAAATCCGCAAACATAGCCCACTTCTAATCTTCTTCTTCATCCTACATTTCAGCTACTACAATACCGATAGATGTAATTGCAAGTTCCCTAAGACTCTTTAAGCTTGCCCAACGGTGGTCCCAAAAAATATAAGAGCGATCGATTCATCACTTATGGTGTTCTCTGCCTTTGTTAATGATGTGAGCATTCTCCATGATCGCTTTCCACGCATTGGACATGTTAGTCTTGGTGTCAAACATATTAATATCGGATCTACCTTTGAAATATTTGCTTACAAGAATTCTTGACCACAAGACATTCGGTTGGTGAGGAATTTTCACCCCCTAATCCCACAACTCTCTTGGTTTTTGCAGGTTTTCCCAAGAGATAAGGTGAGTTATTTGCCTCTCCTGATCTTCACCCCATATCAAATGCCTTGCTTGTTCTTTGAAGACACCGTGGAGGCTTAGAAATTGAAGGGAATTAAGAGAGATATAAAATGACCAAATTCCCATTAATGAGAAAGGATAGAGGAAGAGGAAAGATATTAATTAAGGCAATTATGTAATTTATTTGTGATATAAATTTATTAATTTCCAACTATAATTTCCCATTTTCATATGCTAAATGCCCCAGGAAATGACACATCTTTATTTACTCCGTATTCCTTTACCTCATTTAAAAAAAAAAAACTAGTGTGTAACCTCGGGCTTTGCCCCGTGTAACACTTTGAATAATTTCATTTTTATTTTAGAACTTTAAAAGACATGTTAATTTTTTTTATTATGGGTATTTTATTTTTGTTTTTATTTTTTGAAACCATATTATGAGTATATTCTAATTAAAAAAAATAACTTTGGATTTTTTTATTATGTTTATTCTATATTATAATACTTATATGTAGTTATATATAAATTTGGATTAAAAGATCAAGAATGAATGTGAGTGTTTTTTATAATAATTATATACACTTTTGTATATTTCTTTTTCATATTTACAGTATGTGTGATAATTGGCTTGGGTGGTTGTAAAGTCAATTTTGTTATGAGTGGTTTGGGGTTCGAATCTTCGAGTCTTCATATTTTTGGCGACATGAATTGTTTGTGGATGAAGTGACATGGCGTAATATAAGAGTCTACGTGGCACATGGACGTTTTTATAAACGCCTTTTAATAGATTAGTATAGATGTGATTATAGGTTATGGTTAAAAAATCATTGAAGAGAAATTTTTCTAATAAAATCCTAATAAATATGTATACCATCAAATTATCTTTTTTTTTTGTTTTGTTTTTGTTTTTGGACACGAATAGGTTTTTTTTTTTTTTTTAGTTACTCAAACCTTAATCAAGGAGAACATCAAATATTACAATAGGTAGGATTTATTCAAGCCAAACTTTCATTTATGCATATAAGATATATCTTTATCAAGTCAAACATCAAATTTTTTCATCTTAAATAATGCTTACAATATCATAATTTTATTTAGCATTGAGCATCATCATTAATACTTTTGTATTTTATTAATAGTAAAATTTATATAAGCACTATGGAGTATGCATATGATGTAGTAATATAAATGTTTAAAAATTTTCTAGCATTTTTTTCTTTGACAGC